GTTTAACATTGAACACAATAGGCACATGGTCAGAGAGAAATGCATCCTCAATGCTTATGTATTGGAAATGCAATGGAAAACCCATGGGATAAAATCAAATCAAGGGTGTGCCTGTAAACAAGTGTGCACATCAATGGTGTGGTAGCAGATTCTACTTTTAAGGATTGTAGCCTACTTCAAAGGAAGAAAAACTTCCAGCAGAAAGTGTTTGTACCTTAAGCCGATTTTTAAAGATCAAAGCCACTCCCCCTCCTCTTCCCGAACTCCTCAGAGTGCTTATGAATGAACAGTTTGTGGGGCAAAGTTCGCTAAAAACAGATGACTCACCAGCACCGGGACCAATCCATGTCTCCATTAAAAACATCATGTCCAGATCTCGCTGGATAAAAAAGTTGTTTAAAATGAACGTCTTGTTTGACACATACCTGCAGTTCAGTAGCGCCACCTTAGCCGCAATGTAATCCAAAGGCTGTGGAAGTTGAGAGTGTTGCAATGGGCGAATGTTCTGGAAGTTCACCCCGCCGCTTCGGACACGCAGTCTTGTGCTGCGTTCCAGTCCAAAATTGTCAGGCCCTTCACACCGGATTTCCACCAACTGCAGAACGGAGTCGGAACGCAGCCGTTCCGCAGTCAGTGAAAATGCACACATTGACTTTAATGGAAAGTTTGGAAACCTATTGACTCCGCCGCCGTTCCTGAGCGGATCCGCAGCCGTTCTGCAGTTGGTGGAAATTGGGGGTAACTGTGCGTTCACACCGCCGCCGGCGAGAGCGTCAAAGTGGCCTATTCATTTTCAATGGCGGCAATGGCGGCGAGCTCCGGCGAGGGTGGCGCGGCACATCTTGGACGGCGAGAGCGGTGAGGAGAAGTTGAAGTCAGGTCAACTTTATGGTAATGAGCTATGACGTGGTTCGGCGGCAACTAATCGGAATTTAGAAGTGCTCCGTTTGAGAGGATTCCAGGGTACGCAGTCCTGTAAACTTTGGTTCCGACCACATTAGTTCCCAAGCAAAATAGAGGAGAGGATGATCATTTGAATTCGATAAGAAGGCGCGCAACAATAGGCAAGATTTGAATAAAGCCATTGGCTATGAGTAAAATTCATCAGTTCACTCAATAAATGTGTGAAATTCAAAACAACTGATAGAACATGTTGTGTTGACATTAAATTTGATTAAATCTGAATATCAGAATGTTACAGAAATCAGAATATGGATGAAAATGAAATCTACATTAAATGTATGTCTATATTAAAAATGGGACTGTAAACACATGCAACAACAATAGGCTAACAACATTTCAATAAAAGGAACATTTAAAGGTGAACTAAGTAACTTTTTTACCTTAACCGAACAGCTTTGGAGTCATTGTAATGTTTATATTACTGATTTCGTGTTGAATGGTGGTCATCTCACACCCCCCTGGTGCCTGTGAGCCGCAAAACCACCCTTGCAACTTTGGGCCGGCGAGCCGCCGGCCTGAGTGTTAGGAAGTATCATGTGATATCAGGTCTCGCGAGGTAACGAATTGCTTTACGGCAAAAAAACAGATCTGATAAAATGAGCATCAAACAGAAATAACCCGGCGCCGTATACATGTGGTGTTGGGCGCGCGCAGCTCTTAAAGGGGCCATACCTTATTTTCACTCGTTACAGCGTCCATCCTACTGAACAGGTACCGGTGTACAGGGGGAGGGGATCCGGCTGTGAGTGCGAGCCATCTCTGCGTGAGTGCTATTCACGACAGTACAAGTACTCCACAGCTACTCTAGGGGTCGCTGTTTGACAAAAACGGAATTCTTACTGAGTGCTGCTTTAAAATGCAACCATTGTAAAAAAAAAATCTATGTTTTCTCTAAACACTTTAAATGAACTTAAATTGTGTCCATATTTTAAAGCGTTATATTCTGCATTTACATTTCGCTCCTCTCACCCTTTCTTCACTCCACAGATTGAACGTAATGCCTCGTCTTATTTTCTGCTCTTTCTTTCCTTTTTTCCATCTCTGACTTGAATTTCCTAATGGCACACTCATTTCTGTTTAAAAAAAAAGTAGATTATACATGTAATCTATAAAATAACCAGTGAATGTTGATTTATTTAATGAATTTGAGTATAATTACTGAATCTTAAAGCTCACCCACTTTACCTCAATCCCCCTGGCCCACTTTATCTAACACATTCAGCCAAAGTGGGCCAGCAATATTTGAATGAATGAATGAATGAATGAGGCATTTATATAGCACTTTCATATGAACTGTACACCCAAACCGCTTTACAATAATATCAGGGGTCTCTCGTCAACCACCACCAGTGTGCAGCATCCACTTGGATGATGCGACGGAAGTCACAATACAATGACGCCAGTGCGCTCACCACACACCAGCTAGGTGGACAGGAGAGAGTGATAGAGCCAGTTCAATGGATGGGGATTCTTAGGAGGCCATGATTGGCAAGGGCCAATCCGAGGGCCACCGGGGTTACACCCCTACTCTTTACGAGAAGTGCCATGGGATTTTTAATGACCACAGAGAGTTAGGACCTCAGTTTAACATCTCATCCGAAGGACAGTGCTCTTAGTGTCCCCATCACTATACTGGGGCATTAGGACCCACACAAACCACAGGGTGAGCACCCCCTGCTGGTCTCACTAGCACCTCTTCCAGCAGCAACCTAGTTTTCCCAGGAGTCTCCCATCCAGGTACTAACCAGGCTCAACCCTGCTTAGCTTCAGTGGGCAACCAGTCTTGGGCTGTATTTTCACAGCGATCTTGCGTATTTATGAATGAACGGCTCGTTTTAAAATCTTCCCGGTCGACTGACATTTGTTAAGACATCTGCTTTAAACATTACAATCCTCATGATAACTTTCGTTAACTTTACATTAAAGTCCCCATGAATTCAAAATTGGCCATACTTACTTTGTTTGTCTAAATTGATCGTTTTGTGGTGAACAATTCATCCATGCAAGTCAATCCACACAAAAAAATGTTTTGGCTTCGTAATCTTTAATCAAAATCTGAAATTTCCCCTCCCCTCTGCATTGGAGGACCTTCCCTGATGACGTAGGTTTGACGGTTTGGGTGTCTGCTTAACATCTGTAACCACGCCCCTCCAACTGACAGTAGACAGGCTGCATGAAACACCTACTTTTCTAGATCCAATCAGGTGCTAGTTGGAAAAAAAGCCACGCCCACTATTTTGCCTCATTTGGTATTCCGTTTCTCTCGGAAATACGTCACAACACTGGAGAAAAGTCGTTTGCAACTTCCGGTTCACGGGGACTTTAAGTAAATCCACTTCAAAAGCTAATTACTCCTGGACAGCAATGCCATAGAGATATACAGAGCGACCGCAAAAACGGAAGTTCAAAGACAATATTCTAAAGATGGCTGCGCCCTTGTTTCTCTGGTGCATAAGGTCTATAACATGTTCTTAAGGGGTTGGTTTTGTGAGATTCACCTGTTGTATTTCTCTGAGCAGGTTTTGTCCTTCAGTTCTGTCTCTGATGTTCACTCTCATTTTGAGACCCTCACCTCATCGATCAACAGTCCATCAGCCTCAAACTGCCCAACCGCCTCTCATGGAGAGAAAACCTTCAGCTTCTTACCTGTGAGTCCATTCTGCCTTTAACAATATGACATTTTGATGCTTTCATGAGCTTTGCCAAATCCATGCTTTGCTTCCTTATCTGAAAAAAATAAATAATGTAGGCTATAAACCAGTACAAAAGCATGTGGTGTATCTTAAAGCTTTTTTTTTCATTTTTATTCAGCATTGCCTTTTTTTGTGCAGAAGTATTTGGACTCAACCCTGAAGCTGTACCACGCTGACCTTCAGGCTGTGGACTTCATTGGAGCAGGGGCGTAGAATTTAGTAGGGACGCTAGGGACGTGTCCCTACCAATATCCAGTGACACTGATATATCCCTAGCAATAATTTCGATCAAAACTTAAAATATAGTAATGAAATATTTTTGAAATATAATTTCAAAATCAAACCTACGTCACTGCATTGGAGCATCGGACAAGTCAAGACAGCTCATTAACACATGGGTGGAAGAGCAGACTGAGAGTGAGAAGATAATATCATTAGAATATGAAAGTGAAATTATGTGGATGGCAAGGTAAATGGGGATGAGTCTGCTCCTGGAGGGCCATTGTCCCGCACATTTGAATTCTAACAATAATCAAACACAACTGAACAATCTAATACAAGTTTAAAGAATTACTTTAAAATTACAGGCTGGTGTTTTTTGATTTGGGTTGAAGGTAAAATCAGAAATACATTTATTCGCTTTAGTGTGATGTTGATAGTCTTTTTGTAAACTGTGAAAGTGAAATAAAAAGTATATAATTTCATGCCAATGATCAGAACACTAAAAATAATTAAAATCTGTTATTTATTTAATTTGAGATAAAATTAAAGGTTTTCTTCAGCCTGGTGTGGTAAATAAGTTCACTAGGCTATAGCTCTGGTTAATGGCATCTACTTCAAAGGGAACTGGATGCACAAATTTGAAGCAAGGGACACTGAAAGAAATGCCATTTAAAATAAACCAGGTGTGAGGATGTGACTCAGGATGGCTCTGACCCTCTTCTGAATGTCAGCAAAATGGCCATGATCAGAAAAAGATGGATATGTTGGATCTAGTTTGGTGCTGTGTATGTTTTTTGTTTTTATTTAAGCATGTGTGTATGTTTTGCCAACAAAGGCAGCAAAAGATACGCCTTCAAAAAAATCAACCAGATGAAGGTATCTCAGGAGACAGGAAATTAAGCTAACATTGGATTCGGACGTGCCCTGATGCCTTCCTACCTTGGAATGCAGCCTCCAAAGACAGCATTTTTAAGTTTTCGGACACAGACAGTGCGCACTTTTAAGTGATCTGCACTTCAGATTCTGTAAAAAGTAGACCTTCCGGGTATCTTTGGATCATTTCAACATACTACAATTTGGGAAGCACTAATTCTAATTTCGAATACTATTTAGGACGGATACAAATTGGGATGCAGAGTTTGTATTTATTTGTTTAAAACATAAACATTACAATTCTTTACAAAAACATTCCAAAATAAATGAAAATGAATAAAAGAAATAGCAATTCTAAGTCAACCCAAGAAACCAAATCCTACTTGTGAGCAGTCATACAAAAATGAAAAGAACATAAACACACATAAGCTACATATTAGCATATATTGCAAATACATAAAAAATACATATATATTAGCATATGTTAACACATTCATTTTAGTATATTATGGTCGTGGAAAATGCATTTTTATGCAATCTTTATGTAATAAACTTCACATTTAGGTCCAGTTACACTTAACTTTAAGGTTTGAAGGTGTCCTTGTTACAGTGTAATTATACATTTAAGTACTGAGTAATATTAATTAAATATTAAATAATTAATGTGCTTACTATTTGATAGGTGTGAGGTCCTAACCTAACCCTAACCCTATACATTAATGGTAAAGTAATGTAGATATATTGGATAGTTGCGTTTAATTACTATAAAAGTAAGTTTATTCAAAGTAAACCTATACATTAATGTGAAAAGTATGTGTTTTACATCTAAAAATCTGTACTTTGACGGGGAGTTCTTGTGGATGTAATTGATAATGTTATGAATTTACCAAAGAATACTGTGTAAAAACAGAAGACTTCATTTAATTGTATAATTGTAAGGTATTATAAATATTTTAAAATATAATAAAATATAATAAAATAAATATTATAAAATATTTTTTACAAATATTTATACAAATATTTTAAAAAACAGAATTATTCCGTAGAATAACTTAAGGTTTTTTACTGTAATTTGACGGAAAGTGTTTGGCAACTTTGCTGCCAGACTTTTTACCGTTTTTTTACGATTGTTTTTTTTACACGTATTTACCTTAAATTTAAGGTTTCCCAGTAAAAAAACACATAGTTGTCTTAATTTTAAATAAGTGATTCTTTTTACATAGAATTTAATGTAATTTAACATTCAAGCCAATTAAACAAAAGAATAATCCTGTAAAAAAAACTATAATTTCTCCTTATATGAATTTACAGATTATTACTTTTATTTTATGGTTAATGTTTTTAATAAAAGTTTTTTTCTGTATTTTAATGACATTTACACGTAATGTTAAAAAAACAGAAAATATCTGTAAAATAATACAGTATATTTCTGTGAAATTTTTTTTTTTTTTTTTTACAGTGTAGGGAATAGTGCAGGATTAGGGTTTGGTTTAGGGTAGGTTGCATGCAATTATGCATATTTTATAGTTATTACTATAGAAACTACATGTAACATGAAACAAGGACACTGTAAAATAAAGTCTTAGTCTTTTAAGACTGTAAGGATCAGGCCATCCAAGTGGATCCCAGTGGGCAGTAATAATATGTTCATAAAACTCTACACGTGTTAACAGCAACCTCATTCATAAACATCTGTATATTTTAAACCCTTGCACAGTAAAATGTAATCAACAGCTCCTGAATGTTGTGTATCATCATTAAGTTACAGCCTCCATCTCTGAGACAATGCCTGTCCAATTAGACTGCTCAGGGAAGTTCGCAGTCACTTTGGTGCCATCTATAGCTGTTAAGACATTGGGAAGAAAGACATTTTTACTGCTATACTTTGACATTTCTGTTTGTGGTCATTATTGATTGTCTATGTTTTAAGAAAGCATCATTGACTCTTATAAAACAGAAAATGCTAGCTATGACTTAAAGGGGACCTATTATGCAAAATTCTCTTTTATAAGGTGTTTGAACACAGATGTGTGTTCACAGTGTGTATACAACCAGCCTATAATGGTAAAAATCATTAACAATCTCTCCAAACGCGTGGAAAAGGGGAGATAAGAGTAGGGAAGCTCCGCCCATGACTGGTGAGTATCTGCCCTATTAGCATAGATCCCGCCCTGAGTGATTACATTATAAATGTTCTGTTGTTGGTTCACCATCTGAGTCACTGAGGACACTGTGGTTGAAGTTGTTACTCAGTACTGTTCGTGATCCAGCTTACAGTCTATAGCGATACAATGAAAGGGAGAGCACACACTTTATTACGGTTCATCAGAGTTGTTTTATTAACCCCCTCCCAAAAAGGCATAAGTCTGTATATATTTGTTCACTGTTAGTTGTACTTGTAACGAGTGTTTTTGTGTAATTCACTGTGTATGTTGATGATAATGCAAGGGAGAGAGAGTTTATGGATAAGACTTTAATGCGCATTTCTTGTACTGTTTTATTCAGCTTTTACTGTAATTTTCTGGAGTGAAAACGGACGCTTCATGTTTTGTGTGATGTACAATAAACTTCATAAAACTCATCAGTAAAATTTTGGACATCATTCAGACTGCTGACAGTTTCTGATATTTTCAATGCGTGAGATTGTCCTGTTTTGTTGCCGAAGCATGAGTGCATGAAGCTCCGCCCTCTTATTGAAAGGGGGCCGGGAGCAGCAGCTCATTTGCATGTAAACAGACACACACAAATACAGCGTGTTTTTGCTCACCCCCAAAAAGTGGCAATGTCTGAAAATTTCTGTGAGGTATTTTGAGCTAAAACTTCACAAACACTCTGGGGACATCAGACACTTATTATACATCTCTTAAAAAGGGGCATAATAGGTCCCATTTAAATACTGTAGTTCTTCAGCACAATCTAACTGGCCAATAACACTTGCCTACAACCACTCCAATGCTGTGCTTGGTGACACTTCCCCAGCCTTGTGCTGGAGTGCTGATGGTGGGTTTAACACGGACCCTCGATCCAGGGCTTAAACTGAGGGGTTCTTAAAGAAATATTTGCAATAATGTTAAAGTCATGAAGGAATGGACCAGGATTTGTTAATGTCATGGAGGAATGGATCAGGATTATTATAATTAACTAAAACAAAGACCATAATATATATATATATATATAATTATTTTATTTCAACAAGTTGCAAAGGTAACATTTCTCATTTTAATTTAGTTGAATTTGATGTGCTTAAATAACTAAAACTGAAATAAAAATGAATAAAACTATATAGACATTAAAACATATTTGATTAAAAAAATACATGTAATTTTTATTGACAAAAACTAATTCAAAATATTAATAAAAACTACTTTAGTATCATAATTATACCATAGCAGTGGTTACATGTTTTTGTTTAATAACATACTAATATCCAGCAGATTACCTGAAACATCACTGCTCACGAGCTCCATTTCTGAAAGTACACCAGTCCATTCTATCTGCTCAGGGAAATCCACAATCAAAGACTCTCCCTGGATTTCTGCAGAAAATAAAAGATGATATCAATAACCTTAAAATTATTTGATGTGTATGTGATGCATAAATTAAAGTATAATTTCAGACTAAGGTATCTCACAGTACATTAGCATTTAGTAAAATCATTGACTGGTATTGTGTGTGTTTACTTTTAATGACACCGATGCTGTTGTGAGTGATTGATCCCCATCCATGTTTTGGTTCTTTCACTGAAGGTCTTATGCTGACTCTGTTTCCTACCTTGAAGCAGTTATGAGCGGGGGACCCTAAGAAGTAGTGTTACTAGTTAGGCATAAAGTTAGACTATTATATTACACAAGGCAACAATACATGTAAAAAGTGAGAACAAATGGATATAAAACTGAGTGGTGTAATAAAAAAAATACAGAGGGGAAAAATGCACTACACATGTGGTGCCATTCAAATGAATTAGATCAGACATAAATATCAGGCCTCTGATAATAAGACAATGGGCTATGTTGCACAGATTAGTTATCTCTTGAAGATATTGTCTTTGTAAAAAAAAAAACAGTTTTAATGACTACTACATCAGTGCCTGGACCATGTACTTAAAGTAGAGTAAACCAAGTGGAGTGGCACACATTGAGCACTGATGAATTGTTGAAATTGTATATAAACAAAAATAACAAAACTACATCTAATAGACTTATCAGTGTGACCTACACTCACCTAAAGGATTATTAGGAACACCTGTTCAATTTCTCATTAATGCAATTATCTAATCAACCAATCACATGGCAGTTGCTTCAATGCATTTAGGGGTGTGGTCCTGGTCAAGGCAATCTCCTGAACTCCAAACTGAATGTCAGAATGGGAAAGAAAGGTGATTTAAACAATTTTGAGCGTGGCATGGTTGTTGGTGCCAGACGGGCCAGTCTGAGTATTTCACAATCTGCTTAGTTACTGGAATTTTCACGCACAACCATTTCTAGGGTTTACAAAGAATGGTGTGAAAAGGGAAAAACATCCAGTATGCGGCAGTCCTGTGGGCGAAAATGCCTTGTTGATGCTAGAGGGTCAGAGGAGAATGGGCCGACTGATTCAAGCTGATAGAAGAGCAACTTTGACTGAAATAACCACTCGTTACAACCGAGGTATGCAGCAAAGCATTTGTGAAGCCACAACATGCACAACCTTGAGGCGGATGGGCTACAACAGCAGAAGACCCCACCGGGTACCACTCATCTCCACTACAAATAGGAAAAAGAGGCTACAATTTGCAAGAGCTCACCAAAATTGGACAGTTGAAGACTGGAAAAATGTTGCCTGGTCTGATGAGTCTCAATTTCTGTTGAGACATTCAGATGGTAGAGTCAGAATTTGGCGTAAACAGAATGGGAACATGGATCCATCATGCCTTGTTACCACTGTGCAGGCTGGTGGTGGTGGTGTAATGGTGTGGGGGATGTTTTCTTGGCACACTTTAGGCCCCTTAGTGCCAATTGGGCATCGTTTAAATGCCACGGCCTACCTGAGCATTGTTTCTGACCATGTCCATCCCTTTATGGCCACCATGTACCCATCCTCTGATGGCTACTTCCAGCAGGATAATGCACCATGTCACAAAGCTCGAATCATTTCAAATTGGTTTCTTGAACATGACAATGAGTTCACTGTACTAAAATGCCCCCCACAGTCACCAGATCTCAACCCAATAGAGCATCTTTGGGATGTGGTGGAACGGGAGCTTCGTGCCCTGGATGTGCATTCCACAAATCTCCATCAACTGCAAGATGCTATCCTATCAATATGGGCCAACATTTCTAAAGAATGCTTTCAGCACCTTGTTGAATCAATGCCACGTAGAATTAAGGCAGTTCTGAAGGCGAAAGGGGGTCAAACACAGTATTAGTATGGTGTTCCTAATAATCCTTTAGGTGAGTGTATATACAGGCATCAAAATATATCAAATCAGCAATACCTAAATCAGTACTGACTACAATCTCCATTTCAGAAACCTCTCCAATCCAACCTTCCTGCTCAGGGAAATCTACTGTTACAGTCTCACCCTGCACATCTAAAGAGAGAGAAAATATTTTAAAATCCTAAAAAGAAATGTGCAAGCCTAATATGTTAAAAAAGATTATAAATAATACTAATCTGAAAGTTATTAACAATAACTGTATCAATCTGTCAGATCAGTGACAGCAGATGATGCTCTTACTTATTACACTGCCAATGCTTTTGTGGTTGACTGAACCCCATAGATATTTGGGGGTTTTAACAGATGGCTTCACATAAACCTTGTCTCCTATCTTAATATTGCAGGTGAGAGTTGAGGATCCTGAAATAAAATTAGCAGAATTTAATTTTTATAGGCTATCATTTACTGACGTGGCAATTTAAAACTCTTAATGCCTCGCTCTCTAGAGCTGGGTTAAATCAGTATAGCATCCCGTTTGTAAATGTCACATTTTTGTAGAAAAGAGGTTCAATGCAAAAATATTTATCCAGTTCAGATCTAATCAGATGTTTGCAGGCCAGCTACTACTTAAATGACAAAAACTCAAGTCCTGCTCTGTATTTACCACATTCATCATCATCAGTTACTGGCTCCATTTCAGAGAGAATCCCTTTCCAGGATCCAGGAAAGTCGACAACCAAACTCTCATCACTGTAAATATCTAAAAGAAGAACATGTAAATGAGTGTGCAGCACATATTCATTTGTGATGCCTTGCACCATAATGTACCATTTGTGACCATGAGAATAATACAGATCTTGCCTTTTACCACACCCACACTTATAAGCGTGTCATATTTTGGGGTTTTAATTGAAGGATTCACTTTGACTCTGTCTCCAACCTTAATGCAAACTAGATTGTTCTTTGTGGCTAGATCTGAAACTGGTACAACATATTATAGGCCTATTTCATCATAGGTACAATAAAAATACGACCAGTGAAAGTAAACCTTAGTAATTTTACCTTTTTTAAATGTTTCATTTATTTCCTGCTTGAAAACAGTCACCAGTCGCTCTTTAAGTTCACAGGCAAGTTTGCTTACATCCGTATAAGAGCAGCAAGGCTTAAAAGAGCAACTCGGGAAGCCATTAGACCCAGAAGAAGAGGACACAGACTCATAATTCTGCAGATAAAATAAATGCATTAATAGTCTAATTAATAAAAATTGAGTTTAGATTTTCAAATGTGTCATATACAGGAAAACTTAATTATAGTACAACATGTAGAAAATATCCAAACCTAGCAACATTACAAGGTTATTTTTAATACAATCTATTCTTGAGATGGTAGATATAGCCAGTTTAGTTCATGTAAAACATAAGACAAGTTTGCGGTGTGATATAAGACATGAAAGTAGCAGCGGTTTCAGATATCTGAATAAGTGGACTGATATACAGTAAAGCACTAATAGTCAACGGAGAATATTGTGACTGACCAATCAATACCGCGATTGACCAATCAGAATAAAGTATGCCAGAGAGCTGTGTAATAGTGCAATAGTACATTTTTCAGTGGACTTGGTTACGGAAATATAATAATAATTTTATGAAGTCTTTGTTAAAGAGTTATGAGCCATGAACCAAACAAAGCAGCTATGAGAAGAATCACAGCTACAAAACTGTGCCCTCAATGGCTTTAATGAGAGAAAGATCTAAAGTCCCTTGAAGCATTGTGAATGACATAATTTAATTAAAAATGGAAATATAAAACCATCGATTAAAATATGTTGATTGTGTATAGCTATAGAAACAGCATATTTTGGGTTGAAAATATATGTAAATATTTAAATAGTTTGAGAGTGAAGGGGGATTGACTCAATTACATCAGTCGCAGTGCTTCATGGGAGTGAGTGATAGTTCACCCAAAAATGAAAATTCTGTCAGTAATTACTCACCCTCATGTTCTTCCAACCCCGTAAGAATTTCGTTCATCTTCGGAACACAAATTTAGATATTAATAGCAGCGCTTCTGGGTTGTACGTCAGAACGTAGGCTCACTATTGGCCGACATTGGTCATGTGTGTGATGCTGGCCAAAAGTAAGCCTACGTTCTTACGTACAACCCAGAAGCGCTGCGCTGTTACACTACGTGAACTCACTCAGAGGCCCACACAGAAGAAAACGAATAGTTGAATAAAGTCGTTATTTTTGGGGTTTTTTGCACACAAAAAGTATTATCGTCACTTGATAAACTTATGGTTGAGCCACTGTAGTCACTTGGACTATTTTAAACATTGTGTTTACTAACTTTCTGGGCCAGCAAGTTTCAATTACATAGAAGCCTATGGAGGAGTGAGACAGTCTCAGATTTAATCAAAAATATCTTAATTTGTGCTCCGAATATGAACGAAAGTCTTACGGGGTTGGAACAACATGAGGGCGAGTAATTACTGACAGAATTTTCATTTTTGGGTGAACTATCCCTTTAAGGGTTCTTTTGGCATGATTTGTTTGTTTCGGTTCTCTGATTGGTGGAGATTGCTCCGCATAATCATGGGCAATGTATTTTTGCACCAGATGGCTTCCTTCAACAAAAGCATATACCATCAATTAACAACCTAGTAGCTCACATCTCTGTCTTTAAAGGTTTATAAGTTATCATTAAAAATCAAATCCCCTATGAATGAATGGGATTTTTATTTCCAGAACCAGACTACTGCACATAATATGATATGTGCTTATATATATAATGAATATGGCTTATGATAACGCAGACTCTGAATAAATAATCACATTGCTTATGGTAGTTGTACCTGAAGAAAGTGGATGTTGTCATCTGTCTGTAGAAGAGTCTCTAGGACTCCTTCCCTCTTCTTCAGCTCAGTAATTTCCCCCTCAAGTTTCTCTTGTAGTTTTGCACCTTGGTCCAGATCAGCCTTTTCTTGAGCTTTTATCTTTTCAATCACGTCATTACTTCTTTTCTCAATAAATTTGGCCAATTCAGTAAAGACTCTCGTACTGTTTTTCACAGCCTCCTTTGCAGAATCCTGAGGAGAACCAAAGCAAAATAAAATATTATCTCTTAAATGCTGTTTACAATTACAAGAACCATCACCCCAGTAATAACCATTGTGTCAGCTGATTAATGCAGAATCGTTCAGTTAAAATGTTAAAGTTATTTGCACCAGAACTCACTGAATGGGATGTGATGTCCATTTTCATCTTCTGCAGCTCTTTTTCTTTTGCATGGATTGTCTGCTTGACTTTTGTCTGAGTGTCTGTGAGTTTCGTCTAAGGACAAAGGACATCACAGTCTGTTTAATCTCACTGAAAACATTTGTGAACAGCATTTTATAATTGGGTTAATTAACGAGTCATTAAAGAAAGAAAGAAATGATGGACATCTTCACCTGTTTCTCACCACGCTCTATTGTAGATGGCACTGTGTCATGGCCTTTATGGTCATCCATTAAGCAGTGCATGCAGACACAAACCTCGTCTGTTCTACAGTAAACCTCAAGGAGCTTGTCATGTTTGGAGCATATTGGCATGACGGTAGCTTTCACCAGCTTGTGTTTCTTCAGGGCTGGAACATTATAGTGTGGATGTACGTGTGTCTCACAGTAAGAGGCTCGACACTCCAGACAAGACTTGACAGCTTTGAACACTTCTCCAGCGCAGAAATCACATGCAATCTCTCCAGGTCCAGCAAGACTTTGAGCAGCCTCTGACTCATGTAGCTTTGTTCGTAGCCTCAGTTGCTCCATTATTTCAGCAAGTATTGTATTTCTGTTGAGTGGAGGCTTTGAATTGAAGGCATGTCTGCACTGTGGACATTTGTAGGTCCCTTTATTATCCGTTGTATTCCAGCATTCATTAATACAGCTCGTACAGTAACTGTGTCCACAAGGAATTGTCACTGGATCGTTCAGCAAGTCCAAACAAATCGAGCAGCTGTACTGGTCGTGATCTCCGAGTATAGCCTCTGCCATGTCGTTAATATCAAAAGCTACTTGTGTCAATAAAGAACCGTGAGCTTATAAGTGAAAGTAAACTGAAAGCAGGAAATGATTGGTCATTGTAGACTTTACACTATATAAAAATAAAATTGTAGCTTATTTATGTAAGCTGGAAAGCGTAAAAAACACAATATTTTTGTATTTTCTTCATAAAAGAGACTCGCGTGCTTCGGGTTGAGGTGGTAGATCTTTGAATTTTTAACTTAAGTGGTTTTCAGTATCACCACTAGATGGAGAAACCTAGGCCTATTAATATCTGTGAACTTTAACAATTCCTCTTAAAATTAGGCTAGCCTACTTACGAACTCCAAATTATTCAATCTACATGTTACACATTACTTGTCCTCTTTTTAAACAAACAAGAAATAATTTTAGCGTTTATGCAACACAATGCGTAAATGAATGGTAATGAAGGGTAAATGAGCCAGAGCATGATGGGAAATGTAGTTTTGTCGCGCAAGGCAAAATGTAGACGAAACTGTTGGTCAACACAACTAATTTGTGAGTAATAACAATTAGCTTCCCATCATGATTGTTTATTTGGGGGGGTTGGGGGGTGATAGGGTCACAGATACATATAAACAAAAAACAAGTTTTGACCACAGGTTGAATATAAGGGCACAGTTTATTAAGTTCACTCAAAAGACAAAAATACCAAAATAGCTGCACTATTTGTATCCTTGTATGGTATTTTGACAGGAATTGTATTATTAAATGTAGGCCTTTAATTTATTAATAATTTGTTAAAAAATCTTATTGAAGTAAAAATATTCTGTGTGTGTGCACATTCCCTGAGCTGGAACATAAATTTCAGTTGATAATTTACTATTAATGTCTGTCTATATACCTATTAAGAAAGACATGTAACATATTCTTCTTTCTAACTACAGCACCCATGTAGCTATATTAAAATATGCAATCACATGAGTCAAAATGAAGAACAGAACAAAATGGGAACAGGGTTGGTTTCGAAACTGGTTTCGCAATATTTATGCATGTCTAATCAAATAACTTTCCTGAGTTCAGAAGGAAACTTACAAAACAAAAAGACACAGACATGTTTTTATGATCAAAGCTCAGTCACAAAAGAAAAACGTGAGCAGGGAAGTCCAGGGTCACATGATCATGATCTAGGAGGATCCTGAAACGTCAGCCTCTATGGAAAATTATAACAGAAAGGCTTAAGATTTTGATTGCAGGTTGGTCACAAACAAAAACTAGTTCAGAAAAAAAATCTTAAGGTAACTGACCTGAATCATTTATCAATTCCATCTCAGAGAGAATCCCTTTCCATCCTTTGTGTTTCGGGAATTCCACGATCACATCCTCAAATTTGATCTCTAGCCAGATCAGAGGACAAACCCACTTAAAATACATTCTTTTCCAAGAGCAACTCCATGTATACTAAATGTAAATCTATGTGGATATGTTAAAAATATGAAAGTAGTTTAGATCTCCTTAAATTTGTTCTGACTATGAGATTAATACACAGATCTTGCCTTTTACCACACCCACACTCGTGTGGGTGACATGTTCGCCCCAATTATGTTTTGGTGTAGTTATGGAAGGTTTCACTCTGACTCTGTCTCCAACCTTGATGTCGACTGAAACATTTTTTGTAGACAAATCTGAAATAAGTAAAATATTACAGAAAGCATTTTCACTTACAAGTACAATCAGATACAAAAATTTGCATTGGAAGATTACCTGTACAAGAGCCAGTCACAAGCTCCATTTCTGAAACTAAACCAGTCCAGTTTTTATGCTCAGGGAAATCTACAGTCAAAGATTCACCCTGAATTTCTGCAGAATTAAAAAAAAAAAAAAGATAAAAATCATCATCAACTCCTCAAATATAATACACAGTGAGTCTACAAAAAAATCTTTTATCATTTAATTTATTTTAGTAAAAATCACAATCTTTTGAATATGCATGCATTAATGATTAAATAAAGACAGTCAGTGCACCTACTTTTAACAACACCAATGCTTTTGTGAGTGACTGCTCCCCATTTGTGTGTTGGAGTAACAACAGACGGCTTCACGCAGACTTTGTCTCCAATCTTAATATTGGACTCCAGACTTGAAGATCCTGAAATACAAAGAGTGTTACGAGGGTCTGAGACGAGACTTATAGCTGCTACTTAAATGTCACTGACACACTGTAATGATACTGTGTATTATTACCAAACTCATCATCTTTGGTTACTAGCTCCATTTCAGAGTACATTTCTTTCCAATTTGCATGTTTAGGGAAGTCAACAATCAGACCGTTATCACATTTGATGTCTAAACAGAGAACAAGTTCATATTGTAAAGCATACACTTGAGTGAGGATTGCTTAATAATAGATTATTTATTTGAGGGGAAAAAACAGGTCTTGCCTTATATCACACCAACATTTTTATGTGACAAAGGGGTTGGCGATATGACCAAAATCATATATCACAATATGAGTAACTTTATTTCATGATAACAATATACTGTTTATAACAATATAGATATTTTTGCTTTGAATAAAGTTATGATATACATTTTTTTGATACTATTGAAATTTCAAAATTCTTGTCACCAATTTCAATATCACAAGGAAACTAAAAAAAAGCACTTCTCAAAACTTACAGAAGACAAGTTAACAGTTAGTGATAAAATAAGAACAAAGAAAATTATTTCAAGAAATAGGACAACAAACTACAATAGGACAAAGACGCAAATGAAATAGACCTACCTGAAAAACATCAAGCACTACAAATAAGAAATACTACATAAATTGTATAAAGTAGGCCTAATCAAATGTATAAAAAAAACACTGCATATTCTTCACAATGTTACAAAGAGTTACAAAAGTGATTCAGTCAAGAGCAGTGAGAGATTTTCTCTTTTGTTGTTTGATTAAAATTAATGACACAGACCACAGCAGGTATATTAGGCTGCTGTCACTTTAAGATCGAATGCACGGATCCAATATACTGTTAAACAGTAACCGTGATAGAGACGATCGTCCAAAATCTCCACCGGTTGACAAATTTCTACCAGTTAATCGTGCCTACCGGTATATCGCCCACCTCTGTGACATAAGCACCCCAGTTATGTTTTGGTGTAGTAAAAGAAGCTTTCACTCTGTCCTTGTCTCCAAACTTGATGCCAACTGGAGTGTTTATTTTTGACAAATTTGAAACAAGTAAAATGTTACAGTAGGCATATTTCAGGGCACAACACAACGTTTTAAGCTGCAGCGAAGAAAATGTCGGCAGTTATTTGAATGACAATGGATTACCTGAATCAGCACTGGCCACAATCTCCATTTCTGAAACTAAACCAGTCCAGTTTTTTTGCTCAGGGAAATCTACAGTCAAAGACTCACCCTGAATTTCTGCAAACGTAAAACAAATCATTAATATAAAGTATGCTGCTTTTTCTCACTCTTACAGTGAGCCTACAACAATTTATTTCCCCATTCATAATTTTCAGACATTTGCATGACTAATATAAGTGATGAAAGCAATGCCATTCAATGCTCTTACTTTTAACAACACCAATGCTTTTGTGAGTGACTGCTCCCCATTTGTGTGTTGGAGTAACAACAGACGGCTTCACGCGGACTTTGTCTCCAATCTTAATATTGGAGTCTAGACTTGAAGATCCTGAAATGTCACATGGAGGTCTGAGATGAGTGTTTGATGGAAGACTATAATAGATTATTCTCTCATAGATCAAATGTGGTTGTTTTAAACACTTTGTGCTTCATCCTTTAGATGAGCAACTGTTTTGTAGAAGTAGAATCTCTATTTCATATTTCTGCAGGAGCTGCTACTTTTCAAACATTTATTTACCAATCTCTTCATCATTAGTTACTCGCTCAATTTCAGAGAGAATTCCTTTCCAATTTGCATGTCCAGGGAAGTCAACAACCAGACTGTCATCACCTTTAATGTCTAAACAGAACAAGTTCATATTGTAACACTTGTACTTTTGATAATGAATGATTTGTGTAAGGAAAGTTGTACAGCTCTTGCCTTTTACCACACCCACACTCTTATGTGTGACGTTTCTACCCCAGTTATGTTTTGGGGTAGTAATGGAGGGTTTTACTCTGACTCTGTCTCCAACCTTGATGTCGACTGAAGCATTCTTTGTTAACAAATCTGAAACAATAATATTCTTAATATTAATAACTGTAATATTCTAACAGTTTGATGTTCTACATGTTTCTGCATGCTTTTGTGTCATGAATACAGTAGATTACCTGAACCAGCACTGGTCACACGGTCCATTTCTGAAACTACACCAGTCCAGTTTTTTTGTTCGGGGAAATCTACAGTCAAAAACTTGCCCTGAATTTCTGCAGAAGTAAAAACAACAACAAAAATCATTAATATACACTATGTCCCATTTTCTCACTCTGTAGTACCATGGGCATACAGTGAGACGGCAACATATATTTTCATTATTTCACTTATTGTGCAAATGGCATGAATTTTCATGCCTAATATAAATTATCAGATAAATATCAGTCAATGCTCTCACTTTTAACAACACCAATGCTAATGCAAGTAACCGATCCCCATTTGTGTGTTGGAATAACAACAGACGGCTTCACGCGGACTGTGTCTCCAACTTCAATGTCAAATGGAGGACTCTTTGTTGACAAATCTGAAACTGAAAGAAAAAGATTACAGAAAACATTTCATCACTCATAAGAACAATTAGATACAAGAAATCATAAAATTAATTTATTAATTAATACATTCACCTTTATTAATTGTTTTGTTTGTTTCCTGCATACAAGTAGTCTTCAGTCTTCCAGTAAGTTCACATACAATTTTGTTTATGTCCTCAAAAGAGCAGCACGGCTGAAATGAGAGACTGGGAAACTCATCAGATCCAGATGAAGAGGACATAGACTCATAATTCTGTGGGGGTAAAATATACAAAAAATAATTAATATAACTTTCAAAAGAACTGGCAATAGTCACTTTTATAAATGTCAAATATTTGAACAGTCCTTTATGTCTTAATAAATAATCACATTGCTTATGGTGGTTGTACCTGAAGAAAGTGGATGTTGTCATCTGTCTGTAGAAGAGTCTCTAGGACTCCTTCCCTCTTCTTCAGCTCAGTAATTTCCCCCTCAAGTTTCTCTTGTAGTTTTGCACCTTGGTCCAAATCAGCCTTTTCTTGAGCTTTTATCTTTTCAATCACGTCATTACTTCTTTTCTCAATAAATTTGGCCAATTCAGTAAAGACTCTCGTACTGTTTTTCACAGCCTCCTTTGCAGAATCCTGAGGAGAACCAAAGCAAAATAAAATATTATCTCTTAAATGCTGTTTACAATTACAAGAACCATCACCCCAGTAATAACCATTGTGTCAGCTGATTAATGCAGAATCGTTCAGTTAAAATGTTAAAGTTATTTGCACCAGAACTCACTGAATGGGATGTGATGTCCATTTTCATCTTCTGCAGCTCTTTTTCTTTTGCATGGATTGTCTGCTTGACTTTTGTCTGAGTGTCTGTGAGTTTCGTCTAAGGACAAATCCATCACAGTCTGTTTAATCTCACTGAAAACATTTGTGAACAGCATTTTATAATTGGGTTAATTAACGAGTCATTAAAGAAAGAAAGAAATGATGGACATCTTCACCTGTTTCTCACCACGCTCTATTGTAGATGGCACTGTGTCATGGCCTTTATGGTCATCCATTAAGCAGTGCATGCAGACACAAACCTCGTCTGTTCTACAGTAAACCTCAAGGAGCTTGTCATGTTTGGAGCATATTGGCATGACGGTAGCTTTCACCAGCTTGTGTTTCTTCAGGGCTGGAACATTATAGTGTGGATGTACGTGTGTCTCACAGTAAGAGGCTCGACACTCCAGACAAGACTTGACAGCTTTGAACACTTCTCCAGCGCAGAAATCACATGCAATCTCTCCAGGTCCAGCAAGACTTTGAGCAGCCTCTGACTCATGTAGCTTTGTTCGTAGCCTCAGTTGCTCCATTATTTCAGCAAGTATTGTATTTCTGTTGAGTGGAGGCTTTGAATCGAAGGCATGTCTGCACTGTGGACATTTATAGGTCCCTTTATTATCCGTTGTATTCCAGCATTCATTAATACAGCTCGTACAGTAACTGTGTCCACAAGGAATTGTCACGGGATCGTTCAGCAAGTCCAAACATATCGAGCAGCTGTACTGGTCGTGATCTCCGAGTATAGCCTCTGCCATTTTGCTGACAACACGTTGTGAGACACTGCAAAAGATTTGTCTCTTAATGTTGTCGATTCAAAAAAGGGTGTTTAGCAAAGACCCACTCAAGTTAGAAAAGTTGTGTTGTGAAATCTAAAAAGAGAGAGTGAAAGTGAAAGTAAAGAATTGGTCTAACACGTAGGCTACCGTGATAAAAAATAATAATCGTGAAACATCCTACACAAACAACACAGACAGTTTAAATACAGAATTGGAAGGGGGAAAAAGTATTTACCTTTTGACAATCCGTCGTTTGCTTCATAGTATGGTGGCAGGAAACGTTCAAAGAATTCTGACCTTTGGTCTATTTTACAGCTTGTTTGTTGAAAGTGCACGTTTGTCACAATTTTATTGCGTATGAAATTTATTATTTAGAAATAGTCTTACTTTCAGACATAAAAAGGAAGAAAGAAAAAACTCAGTTAAAAAGCGAAAAATAAGATTCGAGGGTACTGTGTAAACGTAAAGCTATAATGAGTGCGTGTCCTTTAGTGTGTTGGTTTCCCCTCCAGAACCACTAGATGGAGACAGCAAATAGAAAATAATGAATCTGGATTCGGTTTTAATCTGTTATGTGACAATAAACTTCTTCTTCTTTTAGACGAGTATGTAACGGAGATTTTTTTTAGCATGGTTAAAGGTGCTCTAAGCGATGTCATGTGTTTTTTAGGCCAAAACATTTTTTGTCACATACAGCAAACATCTCCTCACTATCCGCTGGCTGCCTGTCCCCTGAACACACTGTAAAGAAACGCGATCTCTGTAGACAGCCCATGCTTCACAAACAGCACCAAAAACAAACTGCAGCGACCCGCTCCCCAAAACATAACAAACTGTTCCAGCCAATGACCGACAAGAAGGGTTTGGGGGTGTGGTTTGGGGGGTTAGTGTGCGGATGAGGAGGAGGGAGGGTCTAGCTAGCCTCCGTTTTGTTTGACAATAGTTCGAACGTCAACAAGAAGTGACGTCACCCAGGATCGCTTAGAGAACCTTTAAATAAGCAGATACATTAAACGAATGTAAATCCTTTGACACCATCATTAAGATCATTATCACTGATAGCTGATAGTTAGCAGCATTGATCTTGAGACAAATTCTCTCCAAGATTCAATGTTTTCTAAAAAGCCAGTCACCTTTTGAGCTAAGACTTCACATGCACACTCTGGTGACATCAAATAATTGTTTTACATCTTGTGAAAAGGGGCATAATAGGTCTCCTTTAAGGGGACTGAACTATTGTCAGCAAAATGGAGTCACGCAGTTAAAGGGATAGTCCACCCAAAAATGAAAATTCTGTCATTAATTCCACACCCTCTTCCCAAACCCGTAAGATTTTCTTTTCTTCAGAACACAAATGAAGATGAAGATCTTTTTGATGAAATCTGAGAGATTTATCTCCCTCCATTGACAGTCTAGGCTACGCAACTACTAGGCCTACTTTGACTGTAAAATGAAAAAAGAGATCGTAATACTTATCCATGAATTGAGTGGTTTAGTTCAAATTTTCTGAAGAGACACGATGGCTTTATATGATGAACAGATTGAAAATAATATTTTTTTCACATATAAACATTCATCAAGTCACACATAATTTGTGGTAAACAGAAGCTCAAGCATGTTCGCTTGACGTGCAAGAACCAATGAGGTTCATTCTCCTGTGTTTTGCAGCACGTTTGAGATTCCGCAAGAGGTTTGTTCTCGCACGTCAAGCAGGTTCGGTTGAACTTCTGTTTATGTTCTCTGATCAATGTTTATATGAATAAAAGCCCAAATTCAATCTGTTCATCCTATAAAGCGATTGTGTCTCTTCAGAAAATTTGAACTAAACCGCTCGATTCATTTGGATTAGTTTTTCTACCGTCAAAGTGGTAGTTGCGTAGTTGCCAATGGAGGGACAGAAATCGCTCAGATTTCATCAAAAAGAACTTAATTTGTGTTCCGAAGATGAATGAAAGTCTTACAGGTTTGGAAAGACATGAGGGTGGGAATTTGATTTGTAATTTTAATTTTTAAGTGAACTATCCCTCAGTATTTAGAGTCACTGAGGAACACAAATTCACCACAAACAATTGGCAAGAAATTGGCACAGATTAGCCTTTTGATTGAAATTGAAACAATTTAGGGAGTACCAGAGACAAGAATTTCTATCATTTGAAAAACAGTTAACTTCATCCTTACAGTAGCAGAACTGTAAAAGTAAATGTACAATATATTGAAAATATGTGGCAAAAAATTAATTTTAAACTTTATTATATAAAATATTATATATATATATATATATATATATATATATATATATAATAGGCTAATGAATTTGCTTTTATTTTATTTGCTTGAATCATTCGAATTGACAAAGGGCAGTGAGTGACGCAGTGACATATAGTTTTAGTTTTTTTAGCTTTAGTTTATTTGCACAAATATAAAATACAAGAAAAACAAGAAAATACAGTTACAATGCAGCAATAAAATGAGCATTTATACATATTTTATAACATTTTAAAGAAGAACATTTTCTTGCTAGATGGGATAAACCATTCCACAATTGAATGCTCCTAAATCTTATTGAGTATTGACCTCTAGTGAGAAATTTAGGAAGATGAAAATCTGAAGATTGATGAATTAAATGACAGTGAACCTTTGAATTTACTTTAAAATACATCTGAAAATGCTCTGGAATGATACCTTCACTTGAATATATTTTATAAATGAAAACACATATTTGAGAAACATTAATATCATAAATAGTAATATCATTGAAGAGTACTAGGAAAAGTGCTCGCCCTATGAGAGATACGGATAAATTAAACTATAGTAAGAAGACAAGATGCCTAGCCCTCCTTTCTATACCAGTAAATGTATGTATTTATCTGCTCACATAGTCAGCTTGTTCCCTCCAACTCAGGCTCTCATCAACAAAAACTCCCAGTAATTTTGTAGTAGACACTTGAGGCACCTCAATAGACTCAATTGTAATTTTTGATAAATCCTTAGGGTATCATTTCTTACCAGTAACATTTTTTTTCTATTTAAAACCAAATTTAAACCAATTAGCATAAGTAATAAGACCATCATTCTTAATCAATTAATTAAAATTTGAGTGATAGAGAACTAAGGTTGTGTCATCGGCAAACATTATTGTAGTAAGAATATTTGAAACATTAGACAAATAATTTATATAAATAAGAAATAGTAAGGGTCTGGGCCCCCGAGGAACCCCCGAGTAATCTTGCTTTGCTAGAATAGCAACCCTTAAAGCATATTTTTGTTTTTCCTCAGAATATTGCTTTTATTTTCAGTTTTACAGTTTGTATCTCTTGGCCTCTCAAATATTTGTATATTCTCCAGGATACCGAAACTATTTAAATGTTAAATTAATTGATTCAATTTAAGCATATGAATTAGATTAGCCTACATAAAATGAATAAATCTTCACATCTTAAAAAATAACCCTGAAAACCGTATTTAAGCTATTGTGCAAATAGACACATTATAACAAAATTAATTTCTGGCACTGTCTTTAATTTACTTTCAATAAAAAGTGGATCTTTCAAATGTTAATTGATTTTCTGAATGTAATTTCTGGGCTGCACTGGGAATGGCTGAGAAATGGGACCAATAAATAACTCAGTGTGTACTTTGTGAAATCATAAATTCGTGCATGTTCATTTGATTTTTAAGATTCCTCAAAAACAAGATGAGCATTGTTGAAGTTGGGGCCCATGGGTAGAATCACAGACGCTTTTGTTCGGGGCTCCCCGTTCCTGCGATGGCCTGCTGTCGATCAAGATGCAAAAGCGTCCGCCCCCATCGGCCCTTTCACTGCTGCAGCTGGCTGCTTCTTGCTGCTTGCCGTATGCTATGCTCACTGCAATCTGTGCTGGTGAGGCCGAAGGAGCTGCAGCTTTAGTATTAAACCAGGCCTTCGAAACGCTTATGACGCTCGCCACCAAAAAAACAAGAGGTAAGTCTTAGCCTACTTGGATGTGCGATTTAAATAAAATATATATTATGTAGTCGCGCCGCTTTAGAAGATCTCGATCCGCGATGGTTAAATGCGCGGTCGATTTCGAAAAGCGGCATGTTTGCGGAAGTGACCGTGCGGTCCATGTTTAGCCGCCCCTGTTATTTGCCTTTACATGTCATGTGTGTTTTCGAAGTATATATTTCACTCTCATGTGCATTTTGTCGACACGGTAAACGTGTGGAAAAGTTGAAGATGCTGTTTGGGTTGGCCGTAAACGAGGCGAAGTTGACTAGCCAGCGGACCCGTTTGAAAAATCAAAATGGCTTCCATCTTTGTCGTCTCAGCAGAGAGGTTTATACCTTTGTTTCCCCGTCTCGCATGTCAGGGAGTCTGTGAGTAACCTCCTTTTTATATACATCTAGTGGTTTATTGTTTATCGAATCTTAGTATTAAGAGTTTGGGTGTTTATTTCACTGGTTTTTTATTTATTTTGTTACTTACCCAGTAGCGCACTTTTGACCACGTCAGTGCGGTGGGGGAGGGGAAGTGAGTCTGTCTGGGTGGAGCCTGTATGATACGTTCACTGTGGATGAATTACCCATTGCCCCCTTCGCTGTAAGTTTGATGTAGCTTAGACTCCAGCTACTGGAAGGATTTTTTTTTATTAATTTTGTGTCACAACTTGCAATGTAGAATAAGAATGTCAGTTCTGTAGAATACCTTAACTCTTATACCTATGGGCAAATGAAGATCTCCTGAAAATCTTTCTAGATATAGAGTGCAGCAGGGATAACATATTGTTATAGGCCAGCCCAGAAGTTAGCATCACCCTGTACCATTGACAAAAAAACATGTAGGATTTTTACATTGGCATTTGGATAATTGCAAAAAAATAAGCTTTGTAATGAACAAAATTGAATGCTTCTTCTCACCAGTTTTGTTCGTCATAATCATCACAAATGAAAACAACTTTTATGAATTGTGATGCCTAAATGCAATTGACAGAAGTAAAAAGTTAAAGTTACTATAAACGAACTATACCATGGTTATTTGACTTCAAAGTCACCATCACTGGGTTTCCGACAAATCTATCATTCTTTAAACAATGATACATTTGGAAAGTTTGAGATAGAATAGTTGAGTATAAATACAATGAGGCTGTAAAAGCGGTAGATGAGTTTTCCTGTTTGACGTGATGATGTTCAATATCCTTGATAGCCTCTGTAGACCCACTTGTTAGCAACCGCCTTTTTCAAAACATAAAAGCCTAAAAATCAGGAGTGGGGTATTACTGATGTATTTTAATGTTATAGAATAAAACATGAATGAAGATATCTTGAGTTTTTTTTATTATCAGACTTTATTTTTTAGGTATTTATCCAAAAACCTATTGACTTTGGGATGATGGAATCAGAGGTTAAAAAATGCTAACTCGTTTCTGGGTTTTAGGACTCATTCCTGCAGCACTCTCTATTACATAAACAGAATACAGTGCTGGTGTACGAAATGTTGGTTGTAGTTTTAGTTGCAGTGGATGTGTGTCAGCTTGCACTCTGGTCTTTTTTTCAACAGTGCTGGGATGTCACCCATGCTTCAGGTAGGCAAACCACCATGCCATTAATATATCTGGTTAACAATGTGGTTATGGGTTTAAAGTTCTTGTGTGTGATCTTGGTAACTGTCAAGCAAATCATCTCCATTATGTTAAGTCATCCCTCTTAACATGAAATGACTTTGCAATTTATGTGGTGGATTTTTGTGTGTGCTTGCACTCAATGAATTTGTTGGTTTGCTTGTTTTGCATAGAGTTTGATGTGTAAAATGTAACTCATTACCATTGTTTAGCTTTCGTCTTATGTCTTCCCCACCTCTCACCTACCCACCAGTATTTGACAAAAGTAGCTGATCAGAGCTCCCTGTGCCCCCTCCCTTCTCCTCCCTACATACATACACACATGCTCACAAACACTCAGTCGGTCAAGAGCTGGTGTGATGACAGATAATGTGCTTTGTCATGCTGGTTGGTGTCATGTGTTTTTCCTATACTGGATGCATGTTTGTTACTTTTAGGCTCCTGTAACCCTGGTTGGCTGGCCACGGAGACAGGGACTCCTCGTCTCAGTACTGTGGCTCTCCACATTAGACTTTCTGTTTGGGGTATCTACTTTCACCTCCATTTTTATTCATATTCAAAGGCTTGAAGCATAATTCCAACATTTTGTTAGCTAAATCTAGTGTAGATTACTTTCTTCTTTAAAAAAAAAAAAGATCCTCATCATGAGCAAATATCTACATTCCAAAATGCATTTTTCATACTTAAGGTGGCTGTGGATTGACCATGAATGTAAGATGTGATCTGTGGCCTCAAAAATATTCTTAATGTAGGAGTTTGTTGCATTTTAATTAGTTTTCAATTAGACTAAAGTATTTAGTTGATCCATAGTTTATTAGGCTCTACTCACCAAGATACGGTATTTAATTTAGAATAGAATTTATTATTCTAATTCAAAGTAATTAATCAATCATACATTAGTTAATTATCCATTTTATATATATGATGATATATATGATTTATTTATATATACTCACCGCACATTTTTATACTATTTAGGTGTTCTAACAGAATATTTTCACTTTGGATTTGTTGTTCGTATTTTTTTTGTTAGGTTGAATTCACTTAACTGGATTTTCATAGAATGATGCTTCTTGAATTTATCCTTTGTCATTGACATTTCTATTGGTTAAATTTGTCAAAAAGTATCGACTTCGGTACCAACTACCAAGTATGTACTACTGAAATAAAAAAATTGTGACGCTTTGAGCGCTGTTGAGCAGAATCGTAAATGCCTCTGATTGGCCATTGTGTTCACGCGCTCATCAGATATGTCTGATTGGCTGCAATGATCAAGGCACGGGAGCGCTTGAGAGCACACAGAAGTGTTTGAAAGTAAAAAAAAAAAAAGCAGGAGCGTTTGAAACCGATCCGCTGATAGACTCCTGATTTCAAACGCTCCCGTCTGTAATGTGTAAGCGCTCGCGTCATTGATGTATATTTACAACTTGTTTTTGAAGCGCTGATCATTGTAGCCAATCACAGACATATCTGATGAGCGCGTGAGTACAATGGGCAATCAGGTGTTTACGATTCCGCTCAACAGCGCTCAAAGTGTCACATTTTTTAAATTTCAGTACCGACTTGGTACCAAAGTCGGTACTTTTTGACAACTCCTCTATTGGTTTTATATTATAGTTCTGATATTGTCAGGATTGACTTGATTCCCTAAACAGGAGTGGATGAATGTGAACTGACCATCACTCTCCTGTTTTTTTTGTTTTTTTTTTGTCTTTTGTCTGTAGGCTAAACATGTTCTCCAAGGGCACCAAGCGTAAATTTTCCGATGGTGGTGAAGAGATTTCCGAAGAAGGCCTGGTAGGTGCCAGGGTGGCATCCTCATACAGCTTGCAGCGGCAGTCGCTGCTGGACATGTCCCTCATTAAGCTGCAGTTATGCCACATGCTGGTGGAGCCCAACCTCTGCCGCTCGGTTCTCATTGCCAACACGGTCAGGCAGATTCAGGAGGAGATGACCCATGATGGCAGCTGGCATATGGTCACTGAAGCATTCTGCAATGCAGGCCAGAGCCCCTCTGAGCGTTTGGTGGCCACTGAGGTCCTTTGCAGGTCACGGGAGCAGGATGCAGAACCTAAGGTCTTTTCTGTCATCAGCTACGAAGGTTGCCGTGAAGAGGAGGTGGTAGCTGATGAAACACTGTGCTCCGTTTCAGTTAGAGATACTGTTTCTAATGTCTACCTGGCAGGGCGTATGGGCCAGTGCTGGGAGAAGAATGAGCTCAGTGGCATAGAGAGGGATGAAGAGGTCCTTGAAGACTCTAGACTTGGTTCAGGAGAAGATGAGGAGATCGACACAGAGGATGAGGCTTCCACTGAGGGTCCAAAGACCATTGGACAAGTTTTTGGGACATTTGAAATAAAAAACGGTTCACCGGGTCCAGACTCTGCTCTTGAGGAGCTTTTTTCCGATGTAGACACCTCCTACTATGATCTGGACACCATGCTGACTGGCATGCAGAGTGCACCCAAGATGGGCCCTTATGACCTCCTTGACAGCTTGGGACCTTCACATGGTTCCCCTTCCATAGTGTCAACACCGAACTGTCGTTCTGATCTCAATGAACTGGATCACATCATGGAAATCATTGTGGGTTCTTAGGTTAGACCTTATTCAGAGACTTACACGCTTGTCTTAATGTTAATGGCTTTTCTGTTCCTTATGGAATGCAAGTAAAGTCTGGAGTCCTTTCAGGGAAAAGAGTTGATGTCTTGTGAAGGATGGCCTTGATTTTATGAGCTGACCATAGTCATATTATTTGCATACCCTTTGTATGTTTTAATAATTTTTTTCTGTATTTGTCTGTCCAGACATGGTGTTTTTTTTTATTTATTTGTTATACTCATGACACTACAGAGAGCAGAACAAGATGTATACAAACATTGTAAAGCTTGGGATATTTTCATAAGACGACAAAAGATTGTCTAAAATGTGTACATAAATATATATTTTTTACAATAGATTCTTCTTGTAATATGTTACTGTACATTATGTACATGTTCTGCAGATTGATTTTAAACGAAGAGATTAGATTCTTATGTGCAACAACTCAACTTTTCTGTTTATCAAAATCCATAAACTGAAGGAACTTAATTCAATACAACAGTATGCAAAAAAGCACCAAATATACATACAATGATGCATGTTTTACATTTATGTGCTTGTTTGCACAAAGTATTTTTTTTCTTCTCAAGGTTTGTTTGCAGTTGGCTGTCAATCAGCTCAGCCGTAGGTTTTGTTTGTTGTTAGACATCAACGTTCTTATATTTTGTCTAATCAACAAATTAAGTATAATGGGGCCAACCCATTCTATATTGTGACTTAATTTATTTAATTTATTTACTGCAAATGGTGAGTATTGGCTGTGGTCAAACTCAGGGTGGCTTTTTAACTCTAGGGGACTGATTGACCAAAGCCTTTTGCTCATAGTAAATCGGTCACAGAATTAGTGCTTTGTAAGTTGATTTGCACCAATCATTGGTTTAAGTATTGATTTTAAGCAAGTTGACTGTTTTAATATGGGTGAATGGCTTAAGTATGTCTGTCTATTAGTCCTCTAGACCCCTCATAATGAGAAGACATTTGTCTAGTTCTATGCATTGAGTGTCATAACACTTTATGTATGAAGTGTTTAAAATGCATTTAGTACAGTATTCTTTTTTTATACTTCAGAATCAGTCAACAAGAGATGGTTTTATTTTACCCAACATTTTCCCGTTGTTACATATATTATTTGGTTTTGCCTAAAGTAAAGTTTTGCATAAACTATGTTTGTGCAAATTATAGGTTATTACATTTTGATAATTGTGTTCTTCTACATTGTGTCTCACTTAAATTCTAAGAGGATTTTTTTTATTGTATGATCTTAAACTAGTATAGAGTATACACATTTTATATGAGCATTGTAGCTTTTTTAACGTTTTTTAATAAAAGGTACATCTTATGAAAACAATGCTGTGTGTTTTTTATTAACTATTTAGTAACTATTAAGCTGTCATCAGTCATCAATGTCTGTAGATGAGCACAGAGAACATTTGTTGGGTGAGAAGTGTGACATTTAAAGTGGCAAGATTAAGTAAGTGATTACATGGTTTTGGTGTCGATTTATTTTTCTAAACTGGTTTGAGTGTTTTCATGTAGCGGAGAATTGACTTGATTATTAATTGTTAGTAATGTCAGGAAAACACAAAAACGTGTATGTTATATGCACAAAACTTACAATTTTACCAGAGACAACGTACAGTACTACATCCAATCCATTCCTAAAAATCAACGTCATGGTTTTATTCTGTACGGAGTGAATTCTGACGCAAGTGACGTCAGCAGATTTGACTCTGAACGTCAATGTTTAAACCCCTCCGCCTCGCGGATATTATTAGGTTGTATGTCAGAAATTGTTGTATTGTCCAACCCCCTTGTTGTGAGATTTTGTTACCTAATGTTTCAGATTCAACTAAAATAAATCAGCTTTACCATGCATCATTTAGAGAAATTCAACAAAAAATATAGCTGTCATCATCTATAGTATTCAGATAGTTTTCCTAAAATATATATGGTTTGCTTGGCAAAAAAAAAAGCAAAAAGGAAATGGAAAGCCACAAACGTGCCATTTACAATGCAGATGTACCATAGTCCGGTAGCCAGTGCTCCAAACAGTCACGTTTTCGGTCTGTGGGCATGTATGAGGGACTGATGTGATAGACTAGATAGGTGGGGGCAGAACACGCGTTCCACCAATCAGGGGCAGTTACTAGGCGGGTCTGAGGTCGCGGTCGACCAATCACAGCCATGCCACCTGACGACCGTCAATCAGCTGAGTTATTTTCCCGTTGATTCTACAGTATATCGAGAGTTCGGCTCTCGTGCCTGCGCGGTCGGTCGCGTAGTTTTGCGCAAAATAATGTTCATATACTTTGGACCAGAAGCTCAACGCGGAGTTCAGCGACCGATTTAAGCAAACGTGCGTCTTATTTTTTATCATCAAAGAGAATGTAGCGGTCGCTCGAGTAACTCGTGTTAAATAATTTCGTAGTTCCATATAGACAGAGACCGTACTTTGCCAAGTACGAACTAGCTAACTGGCTAATTCCCTGCGCATCACTGTGAGCTTAGCCGCGGAGGCTAACAGTGCGCGCCCACGTCTTGCGAGAGTAGTTGGTTGTAATAAACGCTAAACAACGAAGCAACTGGTTGAGCCAAACATAATGGTATGGGTCAAAGGGATATCAAAGCGTTCGAGGCGTCCATGAAAAGAAAAAACGGTATTCCCACTGTATCTATGTGTCGACTGGATGTGGAGTCCCCTGTTGTGAAGAAAGAAGTTGAGCCCGGCGGAGATGGTGGTGTCCTTTCCTCGTCAAGGTAAAGACTTGTAGTCATAAACTGTTTTCTGAATGACTTTTGATTGTGGTCGGCGATCTTTTAGGTATCGTTTTGTTTTTGGAAATTATTTTATATATAAGCACTGATCAGCACTGTCCCGCTTTACGTAACAACTCGAGTTTATGTTGATGATGATACTTGAGCTTTGAGTAGTTGCCTACTCCGTTACACACTAACGTTAGTTTATTTACAACCGGAGGAGTCCTAGCAAAATTATTGTTTTATGCTAGATCGCTGTGAACATATAAACACAACTTTTGTACCTCCCGCTTTCTTTCTCATGTTAGTCGTACGTGGTTTCGGTTGCGTAACGGGATCGATTTTTCCTCACTGATATTTGGACCCGACGAACGTTCAGTCGAAATGTGACTGGCCAATTTTTTTTTCTAACTTATTATTAAAGAATAAAATATACATACGATTTTTCAGATGCATTTTCGTAAACATGTATAACTGAAGTAAAAGCGAAAGTCAAAAATACATGAATGGAAATCAAGTGTTTTTGGTTTTACCAAAATTCTTATTCGAATGAATGTGTAATTTTACATTAATTTTTAAGGAGTAATTATGTGTTTCATACTGCGTTTTAAACGTAAAGTGCAGTTTCAGCTATCTTTCGGAAAGTGAATGTCATAGTGAGTTTATTAAAATCCATCTGAATCTCTTTCTAGAATTTTCACCACTAACTCAAAAGATACACCATTGATAAAGACAAGCGTGCTGTATATGAGCGTCTGTCAGCGGGACTAACACCCTGAGTCACTTTATCAGTCTGTTGGAGCCGCCCAGTTACAAAGCTGCCCAAACTAAGACATCCGGCCTGTGTACCCAATGGTTCATTATTCAAGACTTAGTCTGCTTGTCAATGGCATTTGCCACCTACTTCCTCCCTCCTACTCAGTCAACCCCCTGTGCACTTGCTTACAGTCCTCAATTCAATCCATCGTTCTCCTCCCTCTTTCTCTCTGACTAACCTTTCTCGACTCTCCTGCTCGCTTTGCCTTATGTACATCCTCTCTTTTTTTTTTACGCACTTGCTCCTTTTTTTTTTCTTGAAGACTTTCCTGCTCTCCTCTTTATCGTGACTGCATCTAATGGGGCAGTGGGTGGCCCAAGGGAGGGAAACTTAAAGAGAAAAAGATTGTAAAAAAATGACAACCACATCAGTTTGATTTGCTCTTGTACAGAAAGTATCATAATGCAAACCAGTATACGAGTTAAAGAACCTCTTTATCTTGAGCTCAGAATGTGACTAAAGATTGTTTCAGTGCTGTGTCTGTCACTTTGTGGTCTTCAGTTAGTTCGTTCATTTATTTATTTATTTATTTTAGGTACTAACCACACAGTGATGGAAATGAAGTCCTTATCTCTCTACCTTAAGTGAAACTGTTGTATCTCTTTGTATCTCTTTATGCTTTGGTTTGCTGCTGTAAGTGAAAGTAGCAGTATAAAGTACAGTGCACTTCTCAGATGTTCAGCCTCTTTTGCGCGTTTCACAATCAGTATGAATACTAACTTGATGGTCTATAAAACACTGAATGTTTTCTTCTTTTTTTTACTCGCCATCATTATACAAGAAAGTAAAGTCTGTTATTGAGACTACGCTTCACACAGTAACATTTCATCAATACATTAAGGACAACATAATCGTTGTTAATATTAAAGTTTTATTCAATAATAATTCATTAATAAACAATAATAAAGGTAATAATATTGAGTGTTATTTATTATTAACAAATAATGATCATGGTTATTATTGTCAAACTGCAGAAATATAAAAAATTAGTAAAGCATTTTGGTTATTAGGCATATAAAAAATTCAGTATCTCTGTTTCATTGTATTGTGTAGTCTTGGTGGGACTTCCATGGTGGGCCTCACTTCTGATTCACCACTAGGTGTAAAAAAATTAATAAAATAAAAAGTAATAAAGGCTGAAGTACCATCATGTATAGTGCAGACCTGAACTGATGCAACCCAACATATTTTGCTGCAATGCTGCTTCTATGGATCCTATTGTGTTCACCCACTTTGATGGTTGTCTATGTAGTTGTGCTTATTGTCTTTGAGCTGCAGACTCTGTGTGCCACTCAAGCGCCAGTCTCTCATCCACCGCTGTTGCCATGGCAAGCGGACCACAGAGGCCCGTCTAACCAGAGGGGCCTAATTTAAATCATGTCTTGCTGCTTTAAAGCTGCAAGACTTTATAGCAACGAGGTCAAATTCCAAGTTGTTCAGTTGCCTTTTTTAAAGAAGCTCTCTAAAGCAAATTTTTATTCTAATTGGTTATATTGTTTTTGCGTAGAGGTGGTTTGCTCGCTCACATTTCATTTCTAGCTTTCTGTTGCTGACAGAGACGTGTGTGCTCCTGCCGGAATTCAGCTGTGAAATCTGCAGGAATACAAAATGTCCCTTTTGAAGCCTTGTGACTACTTTGTGAAAGGCACCTATAGGGCTGAGCAGGAATTTAGCCCAGAGTGCTCTGCTAGCATGGGTGGTTATATAACTGCTAGCCCCAGCCTGACACATTTGAACGCTGCAGTCCATGCATGCGCCACACATGCTCGGGCTGTTTCTGAGCTTTGAAAGTGTTTAATCAAACTTGTTTTAATAACAAATGGTGTAAGTTGTTCTTTTAATTAATGACTTTTTATTCTTCCTTGTCTTTCCCTTCATGCCTCATTTAAGGTTCACGACTGCTATCGTTCACGCCGCTGTATCTATTATCTAAACTAAGACTTCAGACTGCATATTTTTCTACATGATGGGATGGAGACTTCGCAGTATAATGCATTGCATCCATCTCACTTCTGAACACGAGAGGCTCTTCTTGGCTCTTGCAGCTTCCTGTGCACCCTGCAGTAGAGAGAAGAGCAGTCAGTGACCAGACCTGCGGGGGATGTCTGCCTTCGTTCAGAGTGATGGATGTAGAGAGGGGGGCGCCTACACAACAGAGAGCGCAGAGGTGGATAGACAGTCTCTCACATTTACAGCCCTTTCCACTCAAACTTCAGCTCATTAGATCCGAGGCAGCTATCTGACAGAGCAGTTATGGTGGGAATTCAAATCGTGTGCCCACAAGCCACATTTCGCTCTTCTTTGTGCATGAATGTTTGGCTCAAACAAAAATTGTGGCTTTGAGTGTGAAATTGCATATTTTAAATGAACTGAAAAATTGGGGCAAATATCTGCTTTTAGATTATTACAATATTTCTGACACTTGGAGAGAGAAAAAAAACTCTTCTTTTAAGAATTATTCACTGAAATGTTCTTCAATAGCACAAAAATGGCTCTTCTATGGCATCGCTGTGAAACACCCTTTTTGGGACGTTGGTTTTTAAGAATGTATTAGACTTGGAGGTCTTTGCTTGTAAGTATCGTTTGCAGGATAGAAGGCTTTAGAGAGCTGCAGCAGGAAGCATTGCGCTCCTGTGCTGCGTATCCTCCTCCGCTGTGTGAAGGGAGCGCTAATGAAGCATGATCTTATTCTCAAGTGTACTGCAGTCGCAGACCAGAGGAGCTTCAGCTAATGCATCCACCTCTCTGGAAGCCCCACTCTGGGATGAGGAGCTGTGTCGGGTTAAAGCTTTATCAGTCGAGTTTCAGATAAGTCAAATTTCAAGGCAAAAGAGTTCGTCAAGAACAGAGTTCAGCAATAGTCTGTTTGAACTGATGACTGTCATGGTGTTGTTACATTCACAGTTGGTTTATTATCATGCAAAGTTAATAACTGGAGAAAACTGCGCAATGGACTGCGCAGGAAACAGTAGAACATTTAAGCATTCTTATAAAGGTCCTAGATCACATGTAGTTACAGAAATTACAATTTTCAAGACTTCAAAATGTTTTATGGAGATTTTATCTACTGAAAGTTATTAGGGCTAAGGTATCTGAACTTTTTAATTTATTAATAAACTAGTGTTTTCTGAGTCAATGTCGGCGGCAAAGAACATTGCTGGCTCGTCATCTCCACAGTATAGTGAATGCGTCTATAGAGAGAAATGCATGTTACATTAAACATGTCATTAAGTAAGCTCTGTACTAATTTAGCATTCACACTCCACACACTAGCACTTGGCTATCCGCCTAATAATAGCGCACATTTATCTTAGATTTAGCCTAATGTTAGAGCTAGCAAGCGTCTATGTAAAGTGGCTAAAATTTAGCAACTACCGTAATTCCTCAAATAAAGACCGGTATTCAAATAAACGCCGGGCCTCTGATAGTGGCCGGGGGCGTGGTCAACGCGGACAAATAAAGGCTGGTCTCAAATTAAGGCCGGGGAAAAATTAGTGTACACTCAAAGACGGACTCGCTCAGCGGTTGTCATATCACAACTATTCAGTGTTTTTAACCACATGTTTATTTTAGGTTTCAGACATTTAAATAGATATGATTTATAGCAAAACAATACATTTATAGTTTGTAAAATACACAATGGTGTCTATGGAAGCAGCAATAACAATCCATTCAAATATATTTGGTGACGTGTTTTATTCATATCAGATACACAGTGTAAGTAACTATAAAGTTTACTCTATTCTTCTCCCAGTTCACCGGCCACTTACTTTCATGTATTTCGGGAGAAACTGAAGAATTCACGCGCTGTAACGTAACAAATCCAACAGACAGGAATCTCTGAACTGCGGTGCCCATCTCACGTTACAGATCAAGATAATTTATAAAGGGTTTTAAACGACAAAACAAACTCACTTACACGGATTTGAGAGTCAGAATAGAAGATAGTTGATGACATGGTAAGCAAGTTTGTTAATATTTAGAAATAAAAGCGCTACATCTGTCATACAGCGCTATTTTGGCTGTGGTGAACACGTGCCAAGCATGACGCGTCACCATGGAAACTTGGCTGGCGGGCGGGCGGGGATCGCGAATTAGAAATAAAGGCCTGCCTCTAATAAAAGCCTGCTTCAAATAAAAGCCGGCTACCATCTGCAGTTCAGGTAAATAAAGGCCCCGGTCTTTATTTGAGGAATTACGGTACTTGTTTCAAATGAGAAGCCATGTTTGATGTCGACGGATGAAAGGCGAACGGTTGGATTTCCTGACCGACATAATTACCACATTGACAAGCCGTGTTAATGATCTGTCCGTCGGACTCTTGTTTTGTTTTTTTCTGTGAATAACCGACTAGGGGTGTCCCCGACTAAGGATTTTCATAGTCGAATCAGATTCGTCAGGTCCTGCCTATAGTCGACTAATAGTCGAATCATGTGTGGGCGGGGGCGGGGCTTTAACATTTTAAAGCCGCGATGTACAGAACATCACACAAAGATAAAGAAGAAAATGTATAAAAACATTTTGGATCAATAAAACTAAGAAATAACATAAATAACTGCAGAAAGGCCACACTGCAGATAGGATTTGCATTTCACATGCAAATCAAATTAAATCGGCTGAATTGCCTGTACGAGCATGCTCTATGTAGGCCTACAGCGCAACATCGATGCACTGAAAAATAATCAACAATTAAGAACATAATATACTTTTATAATAAATAAAAATACAAAACGAAATAAGTCAGAATCAAATCACAAGAAGCAGAACAAATGTGTGCAAAATGCCTAAAGTGCAGGGGAACAAAATTCAAAACACAAGTCACAAATAGTTAAATTAGATCACCCTGAGTGATCAATTAATAAAATAAAAATAAAGAAATTATTAAAATAACGAAAGTATGGCCAGGATGGTCAACTTTGTCTTTTTAACTGCAGAAACAACAATAAACGCTAAACTGGAGCGGCAGTCTTTTTAGCTAAACGTGTTCACAGTATCCAAAAATCAAATTAGAACCGGCTGAAATGTTTTGAAATCACTTATTCATACCTGATCGAAAAAACTAAATCCAGTCTTTCACTCGGCCTGTGTCCGTTTGAGTCTTTTCAAATTGTGTGCGCGGATAAAATACATTCTAAAACGCTTAACGTGAAAAACGCTTAACGGCTTTGTCCTAAAACTGTTATATTAAAAGATCAAATTCTGTACACACCTTATATTAATAAAGCATACTATATAGCCTACAGAAAAGCAGATGAGCCCAGAATATGAACGCAACGCGTTTTATTATAACTTAGGCTACGTTAAGCATTTTCCTCCCATAGAAAACCGTTAAAGAAAAAGCTTTACGTGACTTTCAATAGGAGAAACGCGTTGCGTTCATATTCTGGGTTCATCTGCTTATCTGCACATAGAATGGTTTCTTAAGGTGTGTAGCCTACTGTGTACATACATTAAGCACGTAAAAGTGCCATTTAAGCGTTTTAAAAGCTTTTTTCACGTTAAGCGTTTTAGAACGTCCCGAGGAAAACCAGCCTGTTAACGTTGGCCGGCAGAAGTGCTTTCCTGATGCTGAATCCAGCCTTGGAGAATATCCTTTCTGATGGTGTGCATCTTTAGATTGTCTTATCCCAGACATTTTTAAAGATTTAAATCCCTGCCGACAAGACGCTCCTCTGTCGGTCACGGATCGAAAGTGAAACTTAAATCTGTCACGGGGTGTTTGGATTTATTCACCCTGCGCGCACGTTAAAATATTTATTAAAAGCTTCTTTCTTTGCACATTTTTATCGACAGCATTATCATAATAGGCTGTATATTAACATATTGACAGAAAACCAGTAGTTCTATGTGAAATCAGACATTGAGCACACTCATATAGCCAAAATGACATAATCCTCGTTTAATAACACATCTGCGAAGATTCGACCGTGAGATTGGTAGTCGAATCAGGCTCCTCCTATCGAAGCATCGAATCTTCGACTATTCGGGGTCACCCCTATAACCGACTAATAAAAATTTGGTCAGCTAAGCCTCTTCTCATCGATTAACGTTTAGTCGACTATTGGGGGGGCAGCCCTAGTTTTTATAAAGAAGTTTTGTCAGCTGGAAAATGGCATGTTGTTTAACAACTAAGGGTGTCTCGATTTCGATTTTAAATCGAAATCGACCGAAATTAATTCACAATCTTGAACTTCGAATTAAAAAAAGGAATCGTCGATGCTGCCACGCCCCCATGTCACGTCCGGTCGGCGTGCCAAGCGGCAAAAAAATGGTCAACCTCCTCTAACTTAGCTACAGCCATTCAGCACATGCGAGACAGAAAAAACTGTGCTCCAAACCGTATAGCGCGCGCACGGCAGAGAGGGAGAGAGCGAGAGACCTTGCGTGTGTGCCTCGTGAAGCGCATGTAAGACAGAGAGCATCCTGATTGGCCGGTTTCGGCTTTAAAAAAAATAAATGTAAAAATCGAGAATCGAATCGAACCGTGACCTTAGAATCGGAAATTTAATCGAATCGAGGATTTGGAGAATCGTGACACCCCTATAAACAACGGTGCAATCCATTGAACAAGCTGTACTTTAATTTCTCACAGCCCCACTTTCATTCATTCCTGTCAAAAATTAAACATGCCACTACCTAAAAAACAAAAAACTTTGGCCAGTTGTTTTGAGATTATTTTTGTTCTATTTATTGTGGACACTTTTATGTGTCATTGACCCACCTATGGGATTTAATTTGTTCTGTGACCAGACTGATCTATAGATCAGTAGTCTGTAGAGAGGCTTGTGCAATGCGTCTCACTTGCGAATAAACATTAGAGTTGCTGTTGCTACATAACATCCCTCTGATGTGTTCTTGCAAACTATATTGTTAGTAAAGCTTGAAGTACAAGTAATTATCATGCTCCTTTATGCATTGTTTGATTTCACTGCAAGGTAGGTCAGCTAACTAAGTATTCCTGTCCAGTTTTTCCTAACTTTCCTTTGTTCTTGTCTGTAGGTACATGTTGGGCAGGGGGGTGAAACGTAAGCTGAGCACATGTGAGGACCCTTCCCAGGACTTGCCATATCCTCAGCAGAGGCAGCTGGTGCTGGACTTGTGTCTGGACAAGCTACAAAGCTGCCAGCGGCGAGCTGAACCCAGCCTACACCGCTCGGTCCTGCTGGCCAACACCCTCCGCCAGATTCAGCAGGAGATGAGACAGGAGGGGGAAACCTGTTTGCCACAAGCCCTGCTCGGCCCCTCACTCCCTCATGCCTCGACCCCACGGCACTTCCCTGACCTGCCTCCCGTGCCCTTAGACTGTCCTCAACCCCTAACTGGAGCACTGTCCCCTTCATTTCCCCTCACGACGGCTGATGATGATGAGGTCCAGTTGGGCGGTGCCGAAAACGAGACTCTTTTGCCATCCTTCGCTGGTGAGGACGACACAAGGTCGTTGGATTCACTCTTTGGCTCATTTGAGATTACAAATTCCACCAGCTACTTGACAGACTTGGCACTAGATGACATATTTGAGGACATCGACACGTCAATGTACGACTCCTCTGACATCTCCGTTCTGCCGTGTCCTGCGCAGAGAAGCGGTGGGGTGGATGATGGCCTCAAGAGCCTTTCCAGCTGCACCTCCAACAGCAGCCTGCAGCTTTGTCTCTCAGACCTCAACGACCTGGACCACATCATGGAGATCCTGGTGCGCTCCTGAACCACAGCTCGCACCACAGTGTCCTCATTCACCCATCCCGATGTTTTCTATGGAAAATGAATAATACAATGCGTTTTCTTTTTTTAAACAAACAAATATTTTATCTATTTTTATACAAAGGACTGCTATATTTATATATAATAAAAGGAAACTGCCTGACACACACTCACTGTAGGATAAATGCACATTTTTAAGACTTTTCAGATGGCCGAGCTTGTGCTGCCATCCTTCATATTTAAGCAAACTAAGATATGAATATGCAGGGACTTTGGAAACAAATACGAAGTATTACCATTGACACTTATTTATATTGAATAGCTACTTTAAGAGGAGGAGATGGAAGAAAAGTGGATCATAATGGATGCTCCGTAGCTGTTGATGAGCTGAACACTTTTTTTTTTCTTTTTTTGTGATTTCCACTCTATTCTGAAACATTACATTTACTGTCAGTAATTACAATTATCAGATCATGTCATGCACATGCAGCACTCACACTACCTCTCAAGATACCAAGAGCTCTTTCTCTATACAAAGACTGTCATTGTTACAACTGTATTTGAATGGTTTCTCTTCAAATAACTTTAAAAAACTGCTGATTGTTTTATATATGGCTCTGTGTTCACAGGAAAGCCTCTCCTCAAATGGTAGGATTCAGTCCAAAGCTAAAGCTGTAGAAGAAATGCTTTTGTCTCATCTTTCTATTCAACTTTTTTCCGAAACGTTTCTGACTTTTGGTTTCAGAACGAGCTGTTGCTTGTGTAAAAAGTGAGATATATTTTCTAATCACTTGGAATTTAATGCTATTTCTACTTTTCACGTACATGATTGTCAGACACAGCCACCGTCGAATCCCTCGTATGAACATAGTGCCTATAATGGAGAATGAAGACTGCCGACGATGAACTGCACACTGTGGAACCGCACATAGACTTGCCTGAGATTTTAGCTCTACCCCATGAACTTCCCTACATGGGTTGTTTGCCGCTTTTTTGAGCATTTAGCACGACCCTCTGTCCTCTAAAGAAGCCATTACCTGAATATGGCTCCACATCTCCATACTGTCTTTCATTGTGATCTACACTGCAAAAAGCTGATCGTGGATGCATCTTGTGCTGTGGTCTCGAAGACCGTTTCTGAATGTCCAAGCTTACTCACGAGAAACAGATTAATCCGAACTGATGTCTCACCTGCTTACTTTATTCCTCTCATCACAAGTTTTAGGCCTGTTTGAGCCATCTCATCCACAACTTTTAAGTTATTACTGCTACAACACAAGATGGTAGACCAGAGCAAAGGCAGTTCATATTTGTGCTGCATTTACATCCACTGAACTACAAGTTGGTGCAATCGAATGCAAAGAGCCACAAGCTCCGGTCTGCATTAAGACAGGGCAGAGACAAGGGGGAGGGGAAGAACTACAGAGCGAGTTTAAGGGGGGAGGGGGGAGTTAAAGCAAACAGCTTCTGTCACGTGAAGAGCCGTGCTAGTGGTAAATGCTACATTGAGAGTTTGACAACAGCTGGTATGTGTTCACTCTCATTGGTGTGCTCAAAACAAGCCCCACCCCCAGCGAGACCCAGAGGGGCTCCGTTCTCTTCCCGACCAATCGTTTTGATTCAAGGGAGGAGCTTTGTTCTTAATGTGGAATAGAATAACAAGAAACGGTTCAATTTGGTTGGAATGTATTCCCTTGTCTATGGATGGCTCTCTGATCATTACTGACTTAGTCTTAATTTGGATTAAATTTAGGCATTCCAGCAAAAATACAATGAGATATTCATATAATAATAATAATAAACTAATTATAGAGTTCAATGTGGCTCGCAGACGCCCCACCCTGCCTTCCCCCTCACAAGACACATGCACCACCGCCACCGCAGAGAAAACCCGACACTCACAAAGTTTACACACAGATTTTAGAAAACATGCTTGTGTTAGATGTGACCAGATTATGGTGACCATTGGTGTTATATCAGCAACCTGTTTCTTTCTCTTTTAATTTGTGTTGTTTGTATATATATATATAATTTGTATTTATACATTTTCTTGTGTTTTGATTTTTTTTGTTGACTGAAGATCATGAGATAATATATTGCTTTTATTTAAGAGTGAAATATCATCAGTAGACTTCGGTCTTTAGGAGGGTTTATTTGTTTTTTGAAGCGTGATTTGTACTTCACCTCCTCTTCTTAGTAATAATTATCATGTACATAGATGATACAGAATTATGAAGAGATGTTTATCATTAAGATATTTGTAAAGGTTTCAATCTGTGCTGACTCTGAACTGAACAATGTGAACAATGATGGGATGTTCTCTAATCTCTACTGTGTGTTCAGTTCCCTTTGGACCAGGCAGTTTAGGCAGCTTTTAACTTTTTATGCGAAAGTGGTTAAGTTAATCGAGGAGAGCTTTCAGTTGTTGGCCTCATTTAAATGTAATTTGTCCTGCTGCTTGAATTTCAGTCTGTTGAAGGACATTTGTTTTACAATAATCAGCCCCAGGAGCCTCTGGTTTTAAACTAATGTTCATTATGGTTTAGTCTCAGCATGTATTGCAGTAATGCACAGAGCAGCTGTGAAAAGGAGTTCACACTGTGTTGTAAACTTGTGAACGGCTTACTCAAATAATGTACGGTACGTTTGATGTACCGATTGCACAGAGAATACAAAAAGCAGCAAGAGTTTGTATTTTCATGGTCCTTCTCAAATTTGCTTGGTTGTTATGCACAAAATAGCAAGCTTTAAACATCACCTCATCTTGTTAATTCGGCAGTTTATTTCTTAAGCGAAGTTAAAAAAGAAAAAAAATATATATATATCCTAATGAAATTGTAATATCAGAAACCTCAAAATGTCACTTTGTCCTAAGTGCAATATGAAAAAAATGAATATAAAGCGCTGTTTTGCCTACTTGCAAATGACACAATGTAGTGAGCCTATATAACTTTGAATGAATACATGGATAGGTATTTTTATTTATTTATATAAAACAATGACTTTAATCCCTACAATTTATTCTTCCCCCAGAAACTGTCTTTTGATCTGTTGCTATCTGTTTTGACCACAGATTTTATATGAGGTCTGTAAATAATAAAGCATTTTCTTTTGCAGTCATATTCTATGCAATATTGTAGCAGGTCAGTATGTCAAATAAAAAAAAATGGAAATGGAAACCTGTTGTGTATTTACTCGGCATCCAAAACAAGTCAAGTACACTTTTTTTGGAAGTAAATGGATAAAAACCGACAGGCAATGTGGAGTAAACAAGGCAGTTCAAAATATAGAAAAGATTGACATTGCCCCCTAAAGGCAAACTCTGAATGCATGTGAATAGATATTGACTGATTTTCTTTTGGCATTATATGCTATATATTATTCAACATATTGCGTATACTACACAAACATAAATGGTATAATGAATCGTCATATAAAGGGTACCACTTTAGCTGTGCATTAAAATTGGGATTTTACACCATGATGCATATAGAAATTAATTAAAAAATTATGTTCACTTTCTAGTTGTTAACCATTTGAATTTAAACTCTTAGATGGCTTTCTGGAGGCCGTTTGCACATGGCTCGAATTGCTTGCAACAAACAGATGTTTGAAGCATCTTGTATGAAGAAATCTGCTATCGGCCCCATAAAGTCTCAGCCATCATTCTATTCTTATTTTATGTCTATCTTATAGCTGGCGAATTAAAAGTGTTATAAGCATTTCAAATGCCAGGTTCTTCTTCATAAACACACCACTTTTGGAGGGTACAGAGACGCACCCTGCTGCACTCCTCCTGGGATATCTCTGCAGTTGCTGTGCTTGATGGCAGCTGCCAAGAAGAACAAAGTCAGCAAAGTGGGGGAAGTCAATTTAGACTGAAAAAAAGAAAACACCAATGTGGCTCTCAAAGTCTTCCTTGCTGTGGCATGGTGACAGGACTGTGGTTCTCAGATAAATGTGATCTGAACATATTCTTACTGATTAGACTAGATTCTTGTATAATGTTGGCTCTCCCAAAAAAAGAAAACCCCAGAAAAATACCAGTTTTAACAATTATTAACAACATGATTTGTATTTACACATGTGTCAAGACTACATTTTGTCATGTATTCATTTTACGTTTACAACACTGTTGCACACAAAGGAGAACTACACACTTACTGTTCAGGTAATCTGGTCAAGTGCATGAGATGCTTACCTGTCAGTTTCCTCTGAATAATTAATTTGATTATATGTTGGCTATTTGAAAGGAATCTGTTTATGCCATTTTAAAAGGCATTTATTCTTGTTCTTTTAATTTGCTCAATACATTTCCTACCAAGAAAAAACATTTAAAATATAGCAAATCCTTAAACAACATATTTTTGTCATTTTTTATGATTTTTTTTTTCATCACCGATCTTAACTTAAATAGTTGTAATTCATGAATGCTTTGGAATATAAACCTAAGTTGTCTTACGAGAGTACTCTCGTGTTGCGTAAGCTAGCTTACGCTACGGGAAAATCCATTTCTCGAGAATACTGAAGCCAAAAAATTATCCTTTATTTTGCATTAATTTAAAACGCATTGCTGCACAGAGCAGACCTAGGCAAGGCAGCTCGCGCGCCTATTGGTTGCTCTGCAGCAACTGCTGCAACCTATCGAGGGACTGTACTGAGAGTCCAGATAGGGTGTTTTTTGATTTTTCATCTCTTCAGCAAAGTGTTCACTGCACATCGCTGGTCTCTGGAGAAGTCTGCGCCTATATCCGGCGCCTATATCCTTTTTCACTCTATTCTCCTAAAAGAGCCGAGGCGTTATAATGCCTCGTTTTTCTAAATCCGGCTCTTGTCGAGCCCCTCTCAGCGACAGGGACCACCACATCTTGTGCGTTTCCTGCCTGGGACTTAGCCACGCGGACCTCGCGCTTTCCAAGTGCGGCTGCCCGGAATGCGACATCATGGCTGTCTCGACCCTTCGGGCTCGATTAGCCACTTTCCGCTTCTCTCTCGTCTGGGCCGCGCCGTAAGAAGCACCAATCGCAGAGAACCCAGGAGGATATTCCAGTGAGCGACCGCATGCCGGCGAGTTCCCCGTGTGCATCGCTCTCCGTTTCCCCCGCCTTGATCACGGCCGACCAGCACCCCACCGCTCCCACCGTGCATCTCGAGTCTGAAGGGGACAACACGGCTGAGGACGCCTGTTCTCTCGTCGCCTCAGAGAGTGAAGGATGGTCGGGCCCCGAACCGGACCCCGCCCCTTCCCTGCAGGAGTCGAGCGGCGTGCGGGTCAGCTTCGACGCCGAACTGCTCCCCCTCATTACGAAGTAATTGGTCGCCGAACTGCTCCGCCTCGTTTGGTCGCCGCCCGAGGAACCCGCGCCCAGCAGGCTTAACGGCTGTTTCCTGCCCGGGCGACGCTCGACACCTCACACGAGGCCCGCTCCCTACCTGCCAGAACTCCACGAGGAGTTGTCTAAGAGTTGGAAGGCACCATTTTCTGCCAGGCTGCGGTCAACGGTCTCTTCGACACTCTCCGTTGTTGACAGCGCGAAAGACAAAGGCTACCTCTCCATTCCTCCGGTTGAGGAAGCCGTGGCCACACACTTATGCCCGCCCTCCACTGGATGGCTGTCCAAGCCATCTCTACCGTCGAAAGCCTGCAGGACTACTTCGGCTCTCATCGGTCGCGCCTATACCGCCGCTGGTCAGGCCTCCTCAGCGCTTCACTCGATGGCGGTGCTTCAAATTTACAAGGCCAACCTTCTCCGTGTTATGGACGAGGCGGGCCCAAACCCTGAGAACTTTACAGATCTCAGAAGCGCCACGGACTTAGCTCTGCGAGCCACCAAATCCGCTGCACAGGCCATCGGGAGGAACTTGGCGTCTCTCACCGTCACCGAGAGACACTTATGGTTAACACTGTCCGAAATGAAGGAGTCCGACAGAGCCACCTTCCTTGACGCGCCCGTGTCTCCATCCGGTCTCTTCGGCCCGGTGGTGAAAGGCTTCACTGAGCGTTTCTCTGAAGTTCAGAAAATGTTGCAAGCCATGCGGCATTTTATTCCGAGACGCTCCAGTTCGAAACAGCAGCTGCCTAACCGGAACTCAGCGCCACCACCACCTCCGCCGCCAGCTTCACAGCGTCGTCGCCCTGGGGACTCTCGGCAGCGCTCGCGCTGTTCCAGTCGCCACGGGCCGCCTCCCCCCCGGGGTCCCAGGCCCAAGGTCGCGCTGAAGCCTGAGCCCTCTAAGTCTTCCTGACCACCCAGAGAAGACGAAGATGGTTGAGTCCCGCCGCGGCCGGTCCGCCATCAAAGACAATGCACATCGCTCTCTCAGCTCCCTCAACAGAGGCGGCTGGAGAAGTGTATTTCACAGCCAACGAGCCTGCCATGTGACCCGCTCGCCTGTACCCAAAAGCCGTTTTCACGGCTACCCAGATAAATCTCAAAAAGAGCATTATGTCTGTTTGTCCGGCTCACGCCGAAGGTGTTATGAATGTAGGACTTGTGCCCACTTCCCAGTGCCCACCCCTACACATAAGCATGTGCGAAAAAACCATAGCATGCATGTAGTCAAGTCAAGTCAAATATATTTATATAGCGCTTTTCACAATACAGATTGTATCAAAGCTGCTTCACAGTATCAATCAAAACAACTTAACAGTGTTTGTTTATTACTGGAAAAGACATCCAAGTTTGGTAGAGCTGATCAGTGGTATGATGGGTCATTTAATTTGAATATCCCCAACTGAGCAAGCCAAAGGCAACTGCAGCGCTGTGGCGTTACGGAGATTCTCTCCTTCCTACAGGAGCTTCTGGACGAGGGCAGGTCCCCCTCCACGCTCAAAGTGTATGTTGCAGCCATAGTAGCGTTTACAAAACCCTTGCATGGCCAGCCATTGGGAAGGAACGATCTCATCGTCCGCTTCCTCAGAGGGGCTAGGAGGCTAAACCCTCCTCGACCCCCTCTGGTTCCGGTCTGGGACCTTTCCACGG